TGTATATATATATATATATATACATATGCGTGTGTGTGTCTCATCTTCTCCCTTCTTCAGGGATCGCCACAACAAACTAACTCGCACTAAGACTTTGCAAATGTTTTTCTTTTTACGCCAGATGTCCTTCCTGATGCAACCACAGACCACCGAGCTACCACAGCTCTCTGTGTGGAGCAGAGAGCTGCTATCTAGGGTGGCCATGGGAGCAGATGGTGAGGGTTAAGGGCCTTGCTCAAGGGCTAAGAGTGGGGCAAATGAGGGTGGAGGTATGTGTGGGTGCTTCTTCTTCCCCATCCACATTTTGATGTTGTTGGTACGGGGACTTGAGCTGAGTTGACCTTCTGATCACAGGCCCACATTCTCTAACCTATGCCCCACCTCTCCCCCCAAAAATGCTCTACAATATAAAAATAAAATAAAAATAAAAAATGTGCATTACTTACTGTGTGTGGGAAAGGCTTACTATTAAACACTGTGAATCAACTGTTGGTTTGTCTCCACAGCATATAGATGTTCTACTGGACCACATGGCGCAGATTAAATATCTGATTTTATCAAGTGAAAACTGATACGGCAAGACAAACCTGCTTCAAGTCAGTTCCTCTGTTTCTGTCAGCTGCAAAATGGGTCCGTTTTCTAAACACATGGGACTTTTACTAAAACTCAAGTGAGTCAGGTACATCTTCATGCAAGAAAACAGTAAAATTATACATTTTTTGAGGTAAACTGTTTACAGTTAAAACACTTTTGAGATTTCTGGCTGACTTTCCAATTTGTTTTTGCCAGTTGTCTTACTTAAAATATAATCAAATCATATAACCTTGGTTTTTTAATATATTTTGTATCCTTCATTGTTTTTAAATAAAACATGTTTACATGTTGCTGAAAAAATAATTAACAGGTTGACAAAGCATCCAATAAAAAAGTTAAAATTGCAAAAACTGTCTGGCTAAAACATATGGACGGGCTCATTTTGGTCACTAATGAATAGCAGGCACCACTTTGAATCTGGAAAATAATCAAGTTGGTAAGTACCTGCTGGTCTGAGCCACAACAATTTAGAAAAAGCTGCTGAAGTTTTCTGGAAGAAAAAAAAAAAGGAAAAAAGAAATAAAGAAATAAAAATCAATTTAAAAGCCCTGGACGTTTACTTACCAGAGTGTGAAAGTCAAGATGTCTATCTGAATGTGGGCTCATTTACTCAAAAAGTTAACTCAACAACCCTTTCCACAACCTACACAACCTGTTACAGGTCATTAACCAGTGTGGATGGCCACTTAAAATAATGGTTTATCGTGTACTACACAGCTTGGTGTGGCAGCATCAAGGACTCTGGAATAAAATTGTTCAGCCGTGACAACCCTTATCATGTAAATTCCACTAAGTCATTGTGCGCTATTATAAAACAAATATTAGTTGTGATTTTATTACATTTTATTACAAGCATTTTACAGTGCCTTGCAAAAGTATTCGACCCCCTTGAACTTTTCAACCTTTTGACACATTTCAGGCTTCAAAACATAAAGATATAAAATTTTAATTTTTTGTGAAGAATCAACAAGTGGGACACAATCGTGAAGTGGAATGAAATGTATTGGATGTGTCAAACTTTTTTAACAAATAAAAAACTGAAAAGTGGGGCATGCAATATTATTCGGCCCTCTTGCGTTAATACTTTGTAGCGCCGCCTTTTGCTGCAGTTCCAGCTGCAAGTCTCTTGGGGTATGTCTCTATCAGTGTTGAACATGGAGACACTGAAATTCTTGCCCATTCTTTTTGCAAAACAGCTCGAGCTCAGTGAGGTTGGATGGAGAGAGTTTGTGAACAGCAGTCTTCAGCTCTTTCCACAGATTCTCGATTGAATTCAGGTCTGGACTTTGACTTGGCCATTCCAACACCTGGATACGTTTATTTGTGAACCATTCCATCGTAGATGTGTCTTTATGTTTTGGATCATTGTCTTGTTGGAAGATAAATCTCTGTCCCAGTCGCAGGTCTCTTGCAGACTCAAACAAGTTTTCTTCCAGAATGTTCCTGTATTTGGCCCCATCCATCTTCCCTGTCCCTGCTGACAAAAAGCAGGCCCAAACCATGATGCTGCCACCACCATGTTTGACAGTGGGGATGGTGTGTTCAGGGTGATGAGCTGTGTGGCTTTTACGCCAAACATGTCATTTTGCATTGTGGCCAAACAGTTTGATTGTGATTTCATCTGACCAGAGCACCTTCTTCCACATGTTTGGTGTGTCTCCCAGGTGCTTGTGGCAAACTTTAAACAACACTTTCTATGGATATCTTTGAGAAATGGCTTTCTTCTTGCCACTCTTCCATAAAGGCCAGATTTGTACAGTGTGCGGCTGATTGTTGTCCTATGGACAGACTCTCCCACCTCAGCTGTAGATCTCTGCAGTTCATCCAGAATGATCATGGGCCTCTTGGCTGCATCTCTGATCAGTCTTCTCCTTGTTCCAGTTGAAAGTTTAGAGGGACGGCCAGGTCTTGGTAGATTTGCAGTGGTCTGATGCTCCTTCCATTTCAATATGATTGCTTTCACGGTGCTCCTTGGGATGTTTAAAGCTTGGGGAATATTTTTGTATCCAAATCCGGCTTTAAACTTCTCCACAACAGTATCTCGGACCTGCCTGGTGTGTTCCTTGGTCTTCATGATGCTTTCTGGGCTTTGAACAGAACCCTGAGACTATCACAGAGCAGGTGCATTTATACGGAGACTTGATTACACACAGGTGGATTCTATTTATCATCATCAGTCATTTGGGACAACATTGGATCATTCATAGATCCTCACTGAACTTCTGGAGTGAGTTTGCTGCACTGAAAGTAAAGGGGCCGAATAATATTGCACGCCCCACTTTTCAGTTTTTTATTTGTTAAAAAAGTTTGACACATCCAATAAATTTCATTCCACTTCACTGTTTTGTCCCACTTGTTGTTGATTCTTCACAAAAAATTAAAATTTTATTTCTTTATGTTTGAAGCCTGAAATGTGTCAAAAGGTTGAAAAGTTCAAGGGGGCCGAATACTTTCACAAGGCACTGTAGGAGAATACATTGTTTTTATTCAATGGAAGAAAATTTAAAGCTGTTTCCTATTTGCCTTTATTTATTTTTTCATTCTAGATACACAAATTTGACTTTGGGGGAACTAAATTCAAGTTTTATCAATATTAAGTTAAATATGTGTTAAGCCGTACATCAGCTTCTTAAAAGTTGTGAAAATTACAGCAGTCGGCAGACAGAGAAGAAAGAAAATGAATTGAATTATCCACTTTTATTCATTCTTGTCTGAGGTTTAAGAACATTTATGAGAACACTGTACTTGCTTAATAATAACTTTATTGAAGAATACAGTGGTTGTTGCAGATTTTCTCAATTTAAATTAAGTCATATTTGGATTGCAAGGTGAACAAAGTTATGTCTAAGAAATTCCAAGACTTTAGTTTGGTCACATATTGCCCAGCTCTACTCCATTCGCTGTGACCAAAGTTAAGGAGAGCTTAGCAAAGTAAAACAAATGGAACCGGTCCATGGTCATAACTTTCAACATCCATAACGGAAGGCAAAGCTGTGAAGTTGCTGAGAAAACTTCCTTCATTTGATTCTGCATGCAATTCTCTCGATACACACAACAGATATTTCAAATCTGTATAAAGCAGCTCAAAAGTACACAACTGAACACACAATCACAATGATTTTTTTTTCTTCCATCAGGTTGATGTAAAGTGATAAAACAATCCCAACAACTTATTTCCTCCAGTCTAAAATTAATTTATCACTGACTTGGAATAAAATAAATGATTGTGCTTTTAAACCCCAAGTGGAACAAATATTACAGACAAGATGTAGATGTACATCACTTAGAAAACATTAACACTGATATATAAAATTCGAAGCACTTCTGTGGCAGTAAACAATTTACAAGATGGCTGGTAATGACTGTAGATCAGTTACGAGACAACAGAAACAAATATACAAACCGCATCAAGCAGTGCTTTTGGAGATACTCACATCAGCCATCAAATGTGCATTCATTATACTTTTTTTGAGCAACCAGCAGATCAGAGATCTGCAAACTGCTCAACAACAAAAGCTAAGATCATAAAGTCCACAACCGTTCTTAGCCCACTTTTTTAACAGCAAATGAAAAATTCAAAGTAGAAAATATTGTGCATTGTGCAGTGTCTTTCTTCGTATTGAAAATGTCCTTTGAACCATCTGCAGGATATTCTTCTTGTACTTCCAATGTGTCTTAGCTCTTCAGCAGCTGTGAAGATAAAACAGTCTCAGTTGCTTTGTATGCGTCTGATATTTCATAATTTTCCACACTGACAATAGCAAACACTTAAAATCAGCAGAAAGGCTTGTTTGCACTTGATAATATAAAATATACTCACTAATACAAAACATTAGGCAGACAGACAGATTGGTGGAAATGGATTTAAACTACCCTTGCTGAAAGATTGTGAATGTGTGGCAATGATTACAAGGCACATTGCTGGTCTCATGTCAGTATGGTGTTACATTCCTTTCAGGTACCAATACTGTAAGGAACTGAATGATACAGTTGAAACAAAAGTCAAATTCCATGTTTGTGCATATAAACTTGGCTGATAAAGGCAATTCTGATTCTGATTGTATCCTTTCCTGCAACAAGAACAGCGGTCTATAGACATGTGATGTGGTTGGACAGGCTTGTTAACACTTTGCCAGCGAGCTCTCTCAGGAAGGGTAAGACATATGAAGCAACCTGAAATCATACTCTATGTTTCCCCACACCATGAGTAACACTGATGTGTCTCCATCAATATTAACAGGATTGGTCATTCTTCTCTTACAGCAACCATGCAAACGATGGTCATCTGTGGTGTTGCAGAACGGAGATTCATTGCTAAAAATAACACAACTCCATTCATCATCAGCCCATGTCTTCCAGTTATGAAACCACGACAAACATACCCACTTCTTCTCTGGTGTTAATGATACTTGAAATTTGTCTGATGCCTGTTGTAAAGACACAGTGTGGAATGACAATGAGTAAAGTGTCTGAAATCTGTTTCTGGAAGCTGGACACATGTGTCAAGGAATGTTCTAATGCTTTATGCAAAATATGAAGATACTCCCTTGTTGTGCTCTGCTTTGGGTGACCAGAACCTTTAAAGCTTATGTCTATGTCCTCGCATATCCATTGGTCCCAATATCAGGCCAATATGACATTTGTACATCCCAAATCCTAGGCAGTTGTAAGATGTGACTGCCAAGCCTCATGCAAACCAACTATGTGTTCAACTCTGTTAACTGTTGGTAATAATGACAAACACATCTATGAGGAATCTTTGATGATTGGTGATCTTCACTCTTCACCTTCAACTCTTCCTCTTGAGTGAAGTGATAGCACTATCACTTCACTCAAACATATATGCCCTCTGGTGGCTGTTTTAAAATAAACAGCCCCTTGCAAACTGAATTATTTACATACCCCTCAGTAGTCTGCTTGCATTCTAAATTACATACAAACCAAATTAGTCCATCTGAGATATGTTGTTTTTGTGTTAGTCAGTATATTTTAAGTCAGTGTCAAGCAGTGGAAGCGATACACTGAGGACCTTCTTAATCCCAACAGCACATCATGCATGGATGAATCTGAGTCAGGGGATTTCAGGGATCGGTCCGTTCATAACAGCTGAGGATGCTGAGGTAGTTATAAAGATCCATGGAGTGATCTGGAGGTGGACAAGATCTGACCTAAGTTCCTCAAAGACCTGGATGTTGCTGGGCTGTCTCTGTTGACACACATTTGAAAACACATGCAGACTTAAGGGCAGTCCCACAGGATTGGCAGACTGAGGTGGTGGTTCCCCTCTTCAGAGAGGGGGAACAATGATCTTGTTTCAGGTACAGAGGAATCACACTCAGAGCATGATATTGACAGACGGATTGGTGCAGTGTCTGCAGTATTGCAGACTCTGTACCGGTCTGTTGAGGTGAAGAGGGAGCTGAACTGTAAGGCAAAGCTCTCTGTTTACCAGTCAGTCTACGTTCTTACCATCACCTATCATCATGAACTCCAAGTAGTGACTGAAAGAAAAAGATCGCAGATAGAGGCGACTGAAATGAGTTTCCTCCCCAGGGTAGCTGGACTCTCCCTTACAGATAGGGTGAGAAGTTCAGTTATCTGGGAGCGACTCGGAGTAGAACCAGTGCTCCTCCCCATTGAGAGGAGCCAGTTCAGGTGGATCGGGCATCTGGTAAGAATGCCCCTTGGGTGTCTGCCTAGGGAGGTGCTTTGGGCATGTCCGATTGGGAGGAGACCCCGGGGAAGACCCAGGACATGCTAGAGAGACTATGTCTCTCGATTGGCCTGGGAACACCATGGGCTTCCCCCAGAAGAGCTGGAAGAGGTGACTGTGGACAGAGATGTCTGGACCTCCCTGCTCAAAGTGCTGCCCCGCGACACGGCTTTGGAACAAGTGAAAATAATGGATGGATGGATGGATGGATGGATGGATGGATGGATGGATGGATGGATGGATGGATGGATGGATGCATTGAAGGGTGGACAGATGGATGGATGGATGGATGGATGGATGGATGGATGGATGGATGGGAATCAGACTCATCAGCCTACTTGGTAAGGTCTGATCAGATACACCATTTCCACAGCTTCCACAATATTGTGTACTCTGTGCTGGTCCATTGAGGTGAAGAGGAAGTCTGGCTACAAAACAAAGCTCTCTGTTGGTTGGCCTTACCCTCACCTATGGTCAAAACTCTGGGTAGTGAAGGAAAGAACAAGATCTCTGATAAAGGCAGTCAAAATAAGATTTATCTGAAGGATAGCTGGGCTCTCCCTTTGAAAAAAAAGAGTGAGTCATTCAGTTTTCTAAGACAAAAAGAAACAATGAAGGATCAGGCATCTGGTAAGGCTGCCACCAGTACACCCTGTTTGCTTTTCCCCATACATGGAAGGAGAGCCTATGCGAAGACCCAGGTCATGCTGTAGAGACTATGTTTCTCAGCTGGCCTGAGAATATCTTGAAATTCTCCTGGAAGAGCTGGAAGAGGTAGCTGTGGAAAGAGAAGTCTGAGCCTCTCTGCTCATGCTGCCGCCCTCACAACACATTTTCAGAACACATGGCAGATTAATGGATGGATGTGTTGAGTCTTGATTTTTGTTTACCTCATCCACCTGTCCTGTAGAGGAATCCTGCTCTCCCTGTTTGGTCCTGGAGCTTCCACAAGATTGAAAGCCAGATGAGTTAGAGCCTTGCTCCCTCTGAGCATGTGTTGATGGGAAAGAGGGACGACTGTACAGAAGTATGTCCCTTGATTCTGTGGCAGAGACATTAAACACAACCAGCACATTGGCTGAACATTAAACAACATCTGAAAGTTTCAAAGTAAGGGAATTAATCATCAGTACCTGAATGCTGACGGCTTTTGTTGGTTCCTTTCCCTCCTTGTGGAATTTTGTGTGTCTCTTGACTTTCTCTTTGCTCTAATGCACCATCCCTGACCTTGTGAGTCCCAGCGCTGCCTCGTCTGCCCCGGGCCTGCCTGGAGCCCATCCGAGGCAGAGTGGCCCCTCTCACTTTGTAGTCACAGTGGGATATCTGACTGGAGAAATTAAGAGGCATACAAGTATCTGGAAATAAAGCAGAACAAAATAAGTGTAAAGTTAGAGCTATTAAAAATTTGGAGCAGCAAATACAAGTCATATCTCTGTTGTTACCATCACTGAAGAGATCTTTGGATTGGCAGCTTTCTTGACCAGACTGGTTTGGTTTATGCCTCCTGGGCCTTTTATGTGTTATAGCAGGACTCATGTTGCTGTCTGTTGACATGGGGCTGCTTGCCCGCTGCTGTCGCCGTCCTGAAATTGTCACGCAAAATACAAACCTCAGTAGTACAAACATTTAACTTACATACAGCAGGTGACATGAAATTACAGCTCACTACACAGTGATGTGCAGTTTGTAATTAAATTGTTCTTGATTCTTAGTGCCAATAAACAATACTAAGATAATTCCAATTTTTTTGACGAGGAGTTTTTCAGAAAAATTATGAACAATTAATATCTCACCTGCTAACCGCTACAAAATGGAATCAGGTTGGAGAAAACCTGTTCTGGTCAGTCTGAGAAGCTAACTGCTACTCTGAGTGAGACTAAGACCAAGATGGAATGCTGCCATCGTACAACTACATTCCTAAAAATGTATAACGGTCCATGGGGAAAGCTGTTTTGTAAACATGGACACTACTTCCAATTTTGCATTACACTATTATTGTGGCAAAACATTCTGATTGTCCTACCAGAAAGGCCCCAGGCTGCAGCAAAAGTACAACAGCTAACCTCAATAACCGTGTAAAGCAAAATTTATAGTTATGCAAACATTTATGATAGAGCTCACATGAACCATGAAAAAAAAAAAGAATGGAGTTGTGTTGAGAGGGTAGCTTTTATGTACTTGTTTGCTTGTTTGTTTATTTCAAACATGTATAAAATAAGCAAGAAAATAATGTAACAAAATAAATAAAATGAAACATATTTGGAAAAGCAGTGAGAAGTACTCTTCGCTTTCTTTCAGCTGCCCCCTTCTTCAGGGGTCGCCACAGCGAACTAACTCGCATAAAGACATGGCATTTGTTTTTATGCCTTATGTTCTTCCTGACATAACCGCAGATCACTGAGCTACCACAGCCCTCTGTGTGGAGCAGAGAGCTGCCATCTAGGGTGCCCGGGGGGGGGGGGGGGGGGGGGGG